TTGCGGGCTTTACGGTATAACCAGGTTTCAATTGCCCGGGCCCCTGGGCAGTTGCCCCCTTAGCCCTCACTGTCGGCGGGCCTGATAATGATAAAAACTAAGATTCTATTCAAACACCAAACTTTCGATAGACAAAGTGGGGAAGCCAGTAATGTAGGGATTTTATTCTCCGTGTGAAGTCGAGACAGCTTAGTGTGCTATGTGATCATTAGCCGGATCAAGTGATATGTCCATTTCCATCCCTATCTTGTTTGATTCTTTTTTTTCAAGTTCAGTAACCAGCCCTACATAGCTTTCTTATTAATCGATAAATTTTTTTCCTAATATTTGTATAATTTTGATCAGGTATTTTCTCATAATAATAATGAAACGAGTTTTACGTTTTGCCATTCTGATACGTGTAATTTAACTCATTCGCTCTGCTACGTGCATGTCAGTATAGATTAGTCAAATTTAATGGAAATACGTGATGCATGTGAAGTAAATTATTATTCTTCGAAAAACACGTGAAAAGAACAACCAGTTCACTTAAGCTGTTCGAAATTCTGTTTGGTTTGACACGAGGCGTGTTACGCATAGAAAACTTGAGTACATTAAGTTGCTCTGAGAAAAAAATAATAGCTAGAACAATAAGCTCGTGTAAACTTGAAGCTTGAGAAACTTCAAATGAACTACGATCAAAATGTTCTAGATGTATATGATGAATCAGTTGTTTTCTGTAAAGGAAACTAGACCAGAGTGAGCCTTGTTCTTTGTATTGCAAGATATCTAATAATCCACGATTAGTTAAGACGCTTCTGTAACTTTTGTAATTGGTATTCTAAGTAACAACATTAAAAATAATAACTTAGAAACTACTGTCTAATAATACGAATTGACATATTTGACGATACACAAAAATACAAAACGATGTCTTTGAAAAACTTTAATAAATATGTGAGAATCACTGTAAATTTTGTAACCCAAATAATGTTTCAAAACATGTTCCAGGCGATATATTGTTTGTAATTAAGCACAAAGCTACACAATCGGCTATCTGTGATCTGCCCACCACGGATATCGAAACCCAGATTCTAGCGTTGTAAGTCCGCAGACATACCGCTGTCCCACTGGGGGACCCAGGCGATATAAGGTTGGTTGTTGTTAAGCGTAAAGCTACATAATGGGCTATCTATACTCTGCCCACCATGGTTATCGAAAACCGATTTTAGTGTCATAAGCCCGCAGATTTACTGCTGAGATCCACTGGGGGGAGGCTGAATGAGTAAAACGTTTTTCCCCTAAAATCTTAATGGAAAACGTTACGAAAAATCTTTGATTTAAATAATTTTACTGTTTGCAGAATGTCTGGTATTAAAATTATTTATGTTTCTTTTATATGGCTAGTATGAAAACAATGGCAGAGACCTAAAAAAAATCATTATTTGCTTCTTCTGCATTTTATGTTATTTATTCAGCCCACGTTTTACAGAGTGGGCCAAAAGTTGATTCATACATTATTTTTAGTAAACGTACTAACAATACTAAATTCTATGGTTCGATTCCCCGCGGAGGACAGATCACAGGTAGCCCATTGTGAAACTTTGTGTTAAAAAATTTTCTGGCTAGATAATATTTAATTTGTAGCACCGAAACTTGTCGGACCTTCGTCAAACTGTATTCCATATATATATATATATATGTTTGTTCGCATATACTTTTTTGTTAATTTGAAGCAGATAAAAATATTTAGTGCACTGCTTTGAGCAAACTTAACTCGTTGGTAGTAAAATGACTTAATAATAAAGCAACGTCAAGGAAAGGTTGAACTATTAATACTTCGTACTTCTGACTTGTACAAAATACTGATCATCGTATATTGTAATTTAATATCATGCCCAGGAAAAGTGCCTTAAGTTTTCATTGTGATGTAAAACATGATCTGTAGTCGTTTCCTGTGCCGCCTTTTCTTGTCTAAGTCAGTCTGTTTAGGTTGTCGCAGCTGAAAGTAGTTGTAAGAGCTACGATAATAAATGTAAACAAACAATGTTTATAAACAATTCAGAAAGCATCTGTTATTGTAACACTCAGTTCTTGTCTGTCCTGAAAATGCGCGTGCACTTTATTTCAATGGATGTAAATAAAGGGCGGATGTAAATATACTTTAGTAGACCTTTTGTACAACAACGTTCAAAGTTTTTAAAACGCTCTAATTCTAGATCGTAGAATAACATTATAATTTTATTTATTTATTGATAGTATTAAGTACGGTAAAGATTCGCCTTAACTAAACTAAATCAAAAAAGTACACAAGTTACAGTGTTAATTTATCTCTATCTAATATATGCCGTACTTAATATAGGCTTAACTAATGTTAGGCCTAAGACGAGTGGACTTAAAAGATTTCGGTGTCTGCGATTAAAATTATTTTGTATTATTCTAGAAATCTACTTAAAGAAGTACTGTTGTAATAATGGTATTAATTTTACCATAAATGTTTTGCGGGTCTCTGCTAGTTAAACAATGATGTCTACTGCCTAAGTTATTACAAATATTAACCACTTTTCAGGGCTCTGCATTGTAGCTTATTTCTTGAAATATTGAGACATTGTGAACTTCTTTTCGTATCCTGTATTTAAATAAGTACTGATGCAACAAAGATGATAATTTGACGGCAAATTTTTTGCGGGTCTCTTCTAGTATGAAATATATTACTTTGTTTCCCATTTCAACAAAAACTACTTTTTCTAAATTTGTCCGTTTGATTAGGATATATTTCAAGGTCTGATATTTTTTATGTGATATGCCTGCTTGTTTATTGTTTATTTGTAATTAAGCACAAAGCTACACAATGAGCTATGGGTGCTCTGCCCACCACGGGTATCGAAACCCGGATTCTAGCGTTGTAACTCCGCAGATATACCGCTGTGCCACTGGGGGGGGGGGGGATATGTCTGCTACTGGATAACTATTATTGGGTTTTAAGAAAGTCACGATAGTAATATCCTTGGTAGATGAAGTATTAGTGGGAAGAGTGGTGTGAGTTTTACCCGATAAGTCTTTACAATAGTTTGTTTGTTTTGTTTTATTTTAAATTTCGCGCAAAGCTACACGAGGGCTATCTGCGTTAGCCGTCCCTAATTTTGCAGTGTAAGACTAGAGGGAAGGCAGCTAGTCATCACCGCCAACTCTTGGGCTACTCTTTTACCAACGAATAGTGGGATTGACCGTCACATTA